AGTCCTTTGCAACAAAATACAGGCTGGGTTGGGGCTGGTGTTTTCAATGGCTGTTACATGCATAAAGACAGAGATGAATTCTTGAGGTGCAGTCAGATAAATGACTTTAGTTGCTGCTGGTCCAAGATAGGGGGCTACAGCTCCTCATCCACTCTGGGTGCTTATCGTAACCCATTCCCTGCAATGGCCTTCATGATGGGATAGAAGGAAGTTTGGAGCTGCAGGTGGTAACCTGTGACACCAAACCATCCATTCAAGGCACCAAGCCTTTGATCTTTATCTGTAAAGCTATCTCAAAGCTGTGAAGAAAAGTTCAAAGAAGTTTGCTCGGTGGGGAGAAGTCAATTACAGCTACCTCTCTGAGGAAGAGGGAACAAGGAATTGTCTTCTGCTGTGTTCATGAGATGCACACGGGGAAATGACTATAAATAATTTATAGTCATTTTGCCAAGAGTGTTGATTTCTTAAGAAGTCTCAATAACATCCTATTCTGCTCACTTCTAAATCATGCACTGTTTTGCCTAAAGGCAAACCCCATAATTAGAGCAGGTGTGTGTTTACATTGTACACACAGAAGCACAGAAAGGCTAAATATTGATTATACTTTTCATCTTCATATGCCTTCTACATAATCTTCACAAAGAAGCTGTCAGTCCCTCTTGTACTACTAAGTACTAACATAAAATTACGTAGCATGTAAAGGCATAATACAACTACATAATTTGTGTCCTTGACACAAATCAATCCCAACATGAAAGTGTAAGTACTTTGAGGTGACTGGGAATTCTGCATATTGAAAGAACCCATGAAGATTTCTCAGTGGGACAAAGAAAACTAAAGCCTTATCAATGTCACCAACTGAGTGGTGCAACTGCTTCCTCATTTTAGATCAAGGCTGAGGCTTGTTCTGAGTATGTATGGACTGTATATTAACAACAAAGGTTTCATGTGTTTAAGTTGTACAGTATTTTTTGCAATGACCTTTTTCTTTTATTTAGCAGAGAAAAGTTGACTTGATTTTTTGACTTGACAGCCAATTTTGAATATCAGAAAGCAGTGATGGACAAGCACTTTTTAGTACAACTTTTAAAAAATATAGATATTTAACAACAACTTTAAGCACTTGAGGTTTGAGCACCTCTTTGCCCTTATCCAGATCCCCCTTTATCCCAACTGGATATTAGTGATACTGTAGAGAGTACAGAAAACAATTACCTATTATAATATGTAATATGAATATTACATGTCACTTTTTGACATAAAAAGTATATTTTCTGTTCTGTAACTGACCTGCTCTGTTTTGAATCTTTTTTTTAGTTAACTAATCTTCTTTTTGCAGCAGCTTTCTGGATATAAGTTAATGCATTATAAAACAAACAAAAAGTAGCCACACACAAGCCACATTCAAAAGGCTTACTCCATTTTTTCTGAAAGGTTTCCCAGCAGCAGGATGTTACTTTGAAATACAGTTCCAGTTAAAATTAACTGAGTGTTGTACCTCCCTGAAGGACTAGTACCCTACAGCCTGGTCGGTGAAGGAGAGCAAGGGCAGAAATTCAAAAGAGTTAAGTGGGTTTTTATATTTCACCAAAAAGAGGAAGCGCAAAGTCATTGCAGGGAAGTGAATAAAGACAGGATTTGGTAGGGACCCAGAAAATTACCACTAACAAACACTGCTGTACTTGGGCTGAAAGTGTTTTTGCTCAAGCGACAGAAGCATTATATCCACCATGGGTGTGGGGTGGCACTGACAGGGATCTAATAGAGGCTACTCATGGATCTGTTTTGTTCTGAAGCCTATCAAATGTTGTTAAAACTTTGGAGAAGTACTTTGGTCTCTAAGTCACTTTAACAGAGCCCACACTGGCTGCCATTGAAAGAGGAAATTCCACTCTTTAATGCCCTCGGTGCTTACCCAGCTATGATGAATCATAGAACTTCCAGCTGGGAAACTAATTTCTTTTTTCTTTTGCCAATTTATATATCAGCAGGATCAGATCCAGCTTCATCACATGGTCACTGGAACTCTAGTGCCAGTGTGAGGGTGGAGATGAGGGCATGGCAAGCAGGGATGTTGGGAGGGTGCAAGAAAGGGACCTACTCTTTTGACAGCAGCTCAGACTTATGCTAAGTTAAATTGGCCATGTAACTACAGCTCCAGTAGTGCTTCGTTGCCTCTGTGCTTCTTGCAGAGATGCCTGTAGCTTCTCTGTTTTAAGACAGAGGAATGAAGGAAACATTTAGCCATTTGGTATAGCCACTTGCATTCATAGCCTACCTCACCCAGTTGCCCTTGCATTAAGCTTGAAAAATATATACTCATGTTTTCACATTATTGCCTTGGGATGCATTATTTTAATTCTTTCTAAAGTATTTACTGTGTACTAATTTATGTTGATGCCATAAACCTGTAGCATTGCACATCTGGGTTTGCTTACACCTGGAAAATGAGCCTGTCCAAAATGTATATACTAACAGATTAGGATAAAGATGCTAACAGAATTTTCAAGTGTCTTTTACCCCTCAGTCATTTATTATGACTGCTACAAAACAAACTTATTTACAGAGTATTTAAAGTACTTTTACAGCTTACCAAAGATCTAAGATGATTCCCTGCAGCCAAATAGGAAAATACTGTCACTTTCAGCCACTGTTTTCCATCAGTTTTCCAATTCTCTTGGCTGCTGAGCACATAAAACCAGTGATATTTGCTTTCTAAAAACCATAATTGTTTATCTGTCATATTGTAACATGCTTTAGGGTACTTACACTATAAAAGATGTTATCCAAAACTAAAATTAGTCTTCTAATGCAGCAATCATTTTAAAACCTCCACAAAAACATAAGGAAAAAACTACATAGTGAGCAAAAATGTTATTTCTTTTCTAATGATTAGCAACTTCTAAATCATCTAAAAATATGATTTACACATCTGAAGATGGCTACAAGTTACTCTTAAGCAATTCCTGAATTCAAATTTCAAATGTTGAGGTATTTCCATTAAATACATCAAATAGAGCAAATCACAAATGTTCCTCACTGCAGTGTGCATAAAATAATGTAACACAAAGGAGAAGCGCATTTTAATCCTGAGCTGTACCAGTCCAACAAATTAAAAGGAAACATTCAAATTTTTTAACTGTCAAAAATTTCAGTTAACATAGCATTGTGAACATGAAATAAAGTGATCTGACCACTACAAGTTATAATTTTTTTTGGTTTCTTTTTGGCAAATAATCGAAATCTTATTTTTTCCTCTATGTTTGGTCACAATGCTGGAATGGCATGCTGAAACTCCAGATTTCACTCATTGTTAAAAACAAAACAAAACAAAACAATGCTTAGGATATTTAAAAATGTTCCAGTTACATCATATCTGGCCTGTTACAACTGGCAGTCAGGACTTTTGACCAAGTTAAATGGTTTTCCAACACTAAATTCACCAAAAGCAGAACTTGATTCTCTTACTCTTAATTAACTATTTCACTGTTGATTTACAAGAGCTTTGGTTCCAAGCACTATCAGTCAGCTCTCAGAGAGGCAATCAAATAGCAGAGGCATTCTCCAAGGTGAGAAAGGAAGCCATTAAAAACAGTACTTATTTTCAAATAAAGAGGTATTTACAGGAATTTCTGCTATTGTGAGAACTCTTTTTCCTCATCGTGATAAACAAATATGGTTTTCCAGCAGGGCTTTTTTTGCAACATTTTATGATTGTCATATTTGCCTTCCAAAAGAAAAGCATCTATCACATTGTAATGTATTGTGCAGTATATAGGTTTTGAATGTTCTGTAAAACACAAGACAGGTTTGTTCTGGGATCAACATACCACTGGGTACCTGCAATATCATGTTATGATCTAATATCTAGCAGTCTGCCCAGCTGCACGGGGTATAGTTATAAACTAACAGTAAAAGATGGTTATGCCAAGTTTGTTGAAATGTGGGTTGGTTTTTTTTCCACGGCCAAGAAAATTAATTCATTGGGTTATTTGCTTAGCTATTGATCATTTATTGTTTGACTAAAAAAAAAGGCAAGTCATTAGATCGAATCTAAATTACTTTTGCTGAATAACTCACAGTTGCAGGCCTAAGATGGTGTCCTTTGTGATTGCTGTAGTGGACAAATGCTCCTGCTGTGGACAGTTATTTTGGCAGAACTACACTGTCACTACAGGACTTAATTTGATTGGGAAGAGTGTGCATATGAAGCAGTGGTGGAACAAGCTATGCCAACGACTGCACAATTTTGCCAGCACAAGCAGAATGAAACTGTAGGTACTGTATAAGTATAGCTCATCTTGTGAAGAGGCTACATTCTTACACTACTGTCTACATACAGAGATTTCCCATTTTGTCCACGTTGCCATATTTTTGTTTAACATACACGTAGATCACAGTCAAACATACTTTTCTATAAACAGTATTATAGGCAGGAAGTTCTGTGTGAGAATAAATACTGTGTGGTTATTTAATTGTTTTTTGATTATTGTTTGTTTGTTTGTGGATGGTTTTTTTGTTTTGGTTTTTCTTGTAAAAAGTAGCGTGTTTCAGGTTTGAGGTTTTTGTTTGTTGGTTTGTTTTTTTTAGCTTGGAGATTGGTCCAGGCAGAATGACGTAGCTGAAAAGAAGAAAAGAAGCTTTAAAGGGATTGGAATAATGAAATAGTGCAGAGAGAAAGGAATAAAGGAGAACAAATATAGATGGGATGGAGGCTGTGCTACACTGAAGCAAGGTCAAAAGGAGAAGCAAGAGGATTTGACTGGAGAAGTCACACTGGGACTGAAAGAATGGATTTTTGCAGCGGTATCTGGGGAAGTTTGCATTTCCTATCTCATTCCATTCCAAATTCCAGAGATGAGAGAGATTCAGAACTCTTTAAGCTGACAGAAAATTAGAAGAAATAGAGAATATACAGCTGTATCTTTTAATCACAATCCTGTGCTTTGTATGGCAAGCTAAACCTAGCAATCCTACAGAAAACTTTTGTTTGTACTCACCAGCACAGCAAACATAGCTGGTGACCTCCTTTTCCCCTGTGCCTGTGAAATCCAACTTTGAAGATTGCATACCATTGGACTGTGATTTCATGTGACCTTGCATTCAGATTACATTTTGGTGGGCTTAAACATGGGAATGCCACAAAAGCTGCTGTCATCACAGAATGTTACTGTGCAGTGGAAAGTTGTGAGGAGAAGACAGGAGACTGCTGGAGGTGGCAATGGGTGGTATCCTAGAAGACCTTCACAGCTGTTATGTCCTCAGGGCCTGAGGCTGGAGGCAGATTAGACTTTTGCTAGAAAGAGGAGAACACCAGATCAGGTAGAAGAGCATAAGCGAGGTGGCCATGACTTGTGAAGAGGGGACAGTGGTGAGCAATTAGAAGAGGTTGGTCTGGAAAAATCTCATATGTGGAACAGTTTCTATTTGGGCTTTTAGACCACTGAACAGTGTCCAAGTAACTTCACATTTGAATCATTGAAAATGATCGGAGGGCTGGAACACCTTTCCTTTGAGTAAAGGCTGAGAGCATTGGGATTGGTCAGCCTGGAGAAGGCTGACCTAATTTCAGATATGCAAGGGTGACCCTATTGCAGCTTTTCCGTACCTGAACGGTGCCTACAAGAAAGCTGGAGAGGAAGTGTTTATGAGGGCATGTAGTGATAGGACAAGGGGGAACGGGTTCAAAGTGAAAAAGAGTAGGTTTAGCTTGGATATTAGGAAGATATTCTTTACTGTGAGGGTGGTGAGGCACTGGACAGGTTGGCCAGAGAACTTGTGGATGCCCCGTCCCTGGAAGTGTTCCAGGGCAGGTTGACTAGTGGAAGATGTCCCTGTCCATGGCAGAGGGATGGGAACTAGATGGTCCCTTCCAACCCAAACCATTAGATGTTTCTATCATTCTATCATTTACATAGTCTTTCTTCTGGAGTCTATATAACTAATAAGAGGACGAGATGTTGAAGGTGGATGTGGGTTTGATGCCCAGTTCTGTCACAGGGAGCAGTCTTTAGCTTACTTTGAAACTCCTGTTTCTTTCCTGCTTGAGTTTATGTTTGTTCTTTTGTCCTGTTCAAGTCCATCGATGCAATAAACTATGTTAAATTTTAACCTGAAAAAACAGATTAAGTTTCTGTTTGCTACAACTAAAAGGAACTAAAAGGAACTATTGTTCAGATATTCCCCATTTTTCTCCAAAAGCAAATGCTAACTATGATAAAGCATCCTATGCATAGAAGGTATCAGTTTACAGCTAAATATCATTCCTCTCCCAAAGGAATTAATTTTCTACTGTCTACTTCAAAGAAGAAACAGTGCCAGAAAATCCTGTGGTAAAGAAAAGACCTAGCAATTACAGCCAAGCTGTCTCTATCAATAGAAAATTAGTGAAGATCATAAACAGCTCCATATTTGATAGACAATTAACAGACATTCAGGCCTTAAGGAAACTCCTCTTGATTTTCATAGAATTAGGGCTTAAAACCTCCTGTTTAGCAAGGGATTTGAATACAAAATACTGCAAATAACTGGACGCACTTGTTCAATCTCAGAAAAAAAGTCAATTGCTGTTTTTTTTCCACTTGCTTTTAATTGGGAGTTATGGTTGGAGATAGTGATTTTAAGACTTTTTTCTTTTAGGGAGTGTGGGGGAAGAACCGCTGCAAATTAACGAACACAAAACTCTGCTTTTGCAAAAGTCTGTTTGCAATCTGGAAGTTGCTAACTGCATGACCTTAGGAAAGTGAAAGCATGTGGCACACTTCTGGTTCATGCCCTGGTTTGCCCATGGCTGCAATGGTGATGGAAATGATGTCTTTGAAAAGGATTTTGTGATACACAGCTGAAGGCAGCTATGAGCAGAGCGTCATTATTAAGGTTTGTGGTCATAATAAAAAAAATGCAGCCAGTCTGAAAAGATGCTATGACACAGTCATATACAGTAGCTAGAAATTATTCTAATACCAGGAATCATAGGCTAATAGTCTAAGGAAGCTGAACCACAAAAGAGCCTGCAAGTTTAGAGCTGTATCTTTTGAGTTGCTAACTTCCTGTTGCCTACTCTCCCCGATCATGAGTGAATCTATTTCTGTATATATTTACAGCATAATTTTTTTCCCTGAAGTTTAGGCTGAAATCACACTAGAGCCTGCCATGGCAGCATGGCTATTGCTCATGTATTCACTTCACGCTTTACAAAACAATTCAAAGTACCAAATTATTTGTATGCACCACTCACAATAAATAACCAAGCCTCAGAATTAATTTTTTCTGACTATATGGAAGCAGTTAGAACACATAATGAACTCTGAGGGAATATTTGTATAATACTGTGCATGCCTTATAAGAAACACTACAGAAAAATTAATACCAGAATTCCATGGAGTTCCAGCATTCCTATCTGACTGATATTGAAGTTAATTGAGTGACTTAACTGCAAACAATTTACATACCACAACATGTTAGATGAGAGGCATGTAAGAACACTTATGTTTCTTATTGTTGCAATAAACTTAACAAATGGAATATGTTGAGAATTCAGATGTGACATAAAATTTGCTGACACAACAAAAAGCTAGCTCTGGTAGGCTCAAATATACCCATGGAGAATAGCTGAGCTTAGCAAAGCCACATAATATCTAGTTTTTCAGGTCTACACTTAAAAAAATAAATCAAAATATCTACTCTCAGACACTGACTCAACGACAGTGCTTCTTTAATTTTTGCTGCTACAGAGCAGAAATTTTAAGAAAGCTGTCTTTAAAAAAATGTGAACTGTAATTACTACAGTTGAAACTATGTTCAGCAAGGATACTTCTTGGCATTGCATCTTAGCATATGGAGAAAGGTATGTTTTTAACGTCACTGTTTAGTTCATGTAACGTTCAGTACACACTCTGAACCACCTATGTGTCTTCAATACTGACAGAGCTATATTAGGAAGTCAACTACGCTGTTAACAAGTCACACAGCACAAGGGGGTATTCAGCTGTTTCAAAGGAGGAGGAAAAGGCTGCCGCCATGTTGCGCTGATCTCTTCCTATATTTGCACATCTCTAAATTTATGAATATCTACTCATGGAAAGTCCTGCCTTAAGGTTTTAAAATGCTGATGCCACAATAAGATCATGTAGCCAAATATCCAGGTTTCTGTTTAAGGATGTATTTCAACATGCTCAAATCAAAGCATGCATGCACTTCCATAGCACGTGCTGAGAAGCACTCACATTTGAGAAACATTCCTTACACAAGTAGGGTGAATTGGCCATGAGGAGGAGAGAAAAAATAGCTTCTAATACTTCAAGTTAATACAGGAAAACAGAGCTACTTCCTCCTCTTCCTTCTTTTACAACAATATTAAAACCTCAGACAAGATGAAGGGCATCAGGTACGTGAAGTGTCAGCTACTGAAGATGCAGCAGAGGTGTGATGCATCAGTTCATCAACAAGTTGTGGACCATTATAAACCTCATATATAGACAGACCATCTCTGGGTGCTTGAAAGTAATCCTGCTTTAATGGTTTGCAAAAGTGCAGAAGATTCATCCCAGCTACAATTTTATGATAGCAGAGAGAGTGTGCTTTATTTCTTTATGTACCAGTAACTGTCTTGATAGAACCAAGCTTTCCATCTTGTTCCTCAGCTTATTACCTTAATATAGCTGGTTTAGACCAACACTGAGCTCTGACACCATTTAGATCAGTTTAGACTACTTAAGGTGATAAATTGCAGACAATGAGAAAATTCACCATCTGCTTCCCCTGTCCTCTTACGCAGAGTTCTTGCCTGGACTGGGCTGCAGGATGCAGTCTGCTAGGGTTTTATTAGGTGTGCCTGACTGAGGAACCTAAGTTTCACTGCAGCTCTGCAAGTACATCCACCTCTCCCATTCCCCGCCAATAGTATGGACAGAGTAGATATCAAGAAATGGCATTGCATCAAAATTAGCTTTACAAGGGATTATTCCGATTTGCGTGAAGGCTTTTGGGGAGAGGGAGAGAGACTTGAGAAAGTTTTATAAATTAGTATTGAGTGCTTAAGTATGAGTTACTTTAGGAAAAAATATTTTTCACTATTTTATTTTTTTTTAGGGGAAGAAAAAGTTTCTATGCTACTTTAATCTGAAACAGAGCTTCTTTTAGCTATTCAGAAAAAAACCCACCAGTCACAATGAAAGAGCCTTGAGGTGCCAACTGTACCAGCACATCAATCGAGTCACACTAAAAATACTTCAGTAATGGCCAGCTTCTGCTTTTTTTCCTCTCAAACCCTGTATTTAACTTTGTTCTTCACTTAGGAACATTTCCCGTTTTCCAGTTCCCCCTATTCCACCAGTTCTTTCGAAGATTAGGAAACATTACAGAACTTAACTGCAAACGCCATCTTCATAGGGCATTAAAGCATTAAGCAATTAATTAAGTTTTTCTAATTTGCATAAGGCTCATCTTAGTGAGTCACAGACTATTTTCTTACAACTCTGAAAACAGACACTTTGAAAACACTCCTCATCGCGGTGCAGGTGAAGCCGACGCACATTTTGCTTTGAAATCACTAAGTGTGTTTACCTCCCACATTTCCCGGCAGCGCCCCGGCCACCGGTGATAACTCCGTTTTACTACAAAGCTTCCGCCAACTTCCTCGTATCCCAGCGTCTCCCAGTTCCCCCCCTCCCAACGCCACTGCGGGAAGCGGCTCATCCCACCGCTCCATTCCCGCAGGAGCCTCCGCGCGGTGCCGCTCCCGGAGGAGACCGCGAGCGGTCCAGCCCTACCTGAACTTCTCCCCGGCCGGCACTGTCAGCCTGTTGAGCTTGTCCATGATCCTGCTCGCTGCCCTCGCCGGGACGCGCTGCCCCCGGCCCGGCACCTGCCGGCGCGGCCGCTCCCGATGCCAGGCAGGGCACGGCAGAGCCGGGCACGGCTCCTCCCGGTGCCGGCTCGGAGCGCGGCAGAGCCTCCGCCGGGTCAGATCGCGGCCGTGCCGCGCTGCCGGAGCCTCTCCCCGTCCGGCCCGCGGGCACCGGCGGAGGAGGGACGCGGTGCTCGGCCCGGCCCCGCCGCCCGCCCCCGCCCCGCCCGGGGCGCGCACAGGTGGCTCCGGAGCCGGGAGCCGAGGTGGAGCCTTTGGAAATGGGAGCACGAGGTCTCGCTAAGCCGCCCCTCCCTTTGGAGCTGTCGGAGCGGCTCCGGGACGCGCCGGTTCGGCCGCCAGCAGGTGAGGCAGCGCGGGCGGCCCGGCTGCAGCGGGTCGAGGCAGATGAGCCCAGCGGGCCGTGGCGGGGCCAGGACCCGCGCCAGTCACCTGCCCAGCCCCAGGTGACTTCGCTGGCTGCGGGGAGCGATGCGGGCGCTTGGTTTCCCTCACCTCCCCGCTCCCCCACTCTTGTGGTGAAGGTGTACCAGGTGGGAACATGCTGCCGTGGAAACTTTCCCAGAAACTTTCCATCAGCTGATCCCCGCTTTTTTGAACGTAACTAAAGAAAAAAAAAAATTCACCCTGTTTCTTA